CCCCAAAACCCCAAAACCCCAAAACCCCAAAACCCCAAAACCCCAAAACCCCAAAACCCCAGGCATTAATACAAATATTGAAAATTTACATTCACAAATGTTATCAATGAGATCCCACCTGAGGAGAATTCAAATTCTCAGCAACCAAGTCATTCGTAATTTCACTTCCGGTACAGCTCCAGGCTCTGACCACCAATATGAGTAAGGATTTGTGGCCACTTTAGAGTTGAAAAGCACACTCCAGACTCAAGCCTGGATGAGAAGTATCCAGAGGACCCTGGAAACCACATTTGTCTGTGGCCAAAGGACGAACACAAGTACACTCTGGTGTGGCTGCACGGGCTGGGAGACAGCGCAGCAGGGTTCTACGACCTGTTCAATTCGGATTACTACAAGATGGCACCGAAGAACACAGCAGTCATTTTGATGAACGCTCCAATCAGAGCAGTCACTCTCAATGGAGGCATGAGAATGACAAGTTGGTAAGATCGATAGTTAACTCCAGGTACGACATTGAAGGAATTGGATTCGATGAAGAAACAGGAAGCAAGAGTATCAATCTTGAAGAACTTGAAGAGAGTACCCAGCTCGTCTTCAGAATCATGGAGCAATACTCAGATAAAATTGACAATGATTACTCTAAATATATCGTTGGAGGATTTTCTCAAGGATGTTGTCTCGCATACAATACATTCTTTAGACTAGACAAGACAATCAAAGGATTGGTAGCTGTTAGTGGGCATACTCCTCCAGTAGTGGGATTAGATTTCTCAGAAGAGCAGAAAAAGATTCCAATCTTTGCGTAAGTCCTCAAATAATGTGTAGATATCATGGTGCTAATGATCCAACAGTGCCTGAAATGATTCATAGAATGGGAGTCAAGGCTCTTAAAGATAAAGGTTTAGATATCTCATACAAGGTTGAGCCAGGCCTAGTACACTCAGTTAGTGTTCAGGAAATTTCAGAAGTAAAGAAATTTTTGGAAGGAATCACTGAATAATCTTTAATGCAGTTGGAACCCCTTGTCTTGAAAACATCTTTCACTTGGATTTTCAATTTAGAATCCTGAATTAGGGGTTTTGGGGTTTTGGGGTTTTGGGG